CCCGAAGGCGCATACCTGAGCGTGTAACATGAGAACCCAGGAAGGGGTTGAAGGCCAGGTGATACCTTGGCCCGGGAAACTGAACAAAGGCTGTGGGAGGGGTCGCTGAAGGCAGAGTTTTGGAAGCTGGGTGGTGAGATGGTGGGGAGGCAGAGATTGCTCTGACCTCCCAAGGGGGGCTGGGATGCCTGGGACCCCAAGATGGACCTAACTGAGGGGGTCCCTGTTGTCTGTGCCTGCAAGACCTGTCTTGGACTGTATTCCTGTCATCCAAATAAACCTTCTGCTTTACTGGCTGGCTGAGAGTCATGGTGAATCGCAGGAAGCCAGGGGTGCAGGGCCCTGAGTTCCCCAATACTCCGTGACAGCACCATATTCACCGTGGTCTCTCAGCTCCACCAGATGAGTTGCCTGCTTCTGCCTTTTGCAGCTCACCTTCTTTGGGGTCAGTCCTGTGATCTTTTCTATCAACTCCTTTCCTTTTGAGTTGTAGGAGTGTGTGTCTCTCCAGCCAGGAATGTTCATCAGCTCCAGGTGGGAGAGAGAGGTTTGATCCCAACAAGCTGAAGCAAAAACTATCTGTGCCTGACATTCACATGGCGTTGGCTGCTCAAGTTAGTGATCTTGGTGTAAAAAGACAATTCTAGTTGTAGAGCAGATGCAGCCCAGGTGCAGTGGTTGGCATTAGGTTCCCCCTTGACCTGACCTAAACAAACCCTGAGCATCATGGTTATACTGTTCCCCCATTTCAAAGCAATTGTTAGTCTTCAAGTTCCCCCTTTGGGAACAAATTGTTTCATTCCCAGTTTCCCTGAAGTTACTTCAGGTTGTGCTGCAGAGCAGATACTTTTACTACTATTTTTATCACTTAAAAATATTGAACTATAACAAAGAACAGGAACAGGGCAGGGATAGGGGAAAATGTCATTTCACCCTCTGTAACAACAGAAGAAGATAGGGTAAATCAGAGGGATTTCCTTATTCCCCATCACCATCCCAATCCCCCTGTTGTTCAATTGGTTAGGTCAATATTTTTTCTAAAGGGCTGGGAAGAGGATTCCCTAGTAAATGACTTGGAACTAAGGAAAATATCCATGCATTGGGCTCCCAAAGCAGTTGTGGCATGGGGTCTGCAGGAGGTCGCTCCTGAAGATATCTCCTTCCTAATCAGGTGCATGTTGCCTATTATTTGGGAAAGGCAATCCCTATCTAGGTAGAGATGGGGAAAATGTAAGTGACATTTCTCTTCAGCTCACCCCTGGGAGATGCTGCAAATGTGTAGAAAATGAAATCCATGTTGAATGTTATATAGTTGCTGAACAAACTCACTCACTCATGCTCGTCACCCCAATCGAGGTATGGGCCACCAACCACAGATCTCCAGAGTCCTCTATCCTGGGCCATTTGCTCTAACTGGTTCCAGGTATAGCCCATTTTTATGCTATCAGCCTGAAGGTCGTGTTGCCAGATGTTTCTTGGACGGCCTCTTTTCCGCTTGCCTTGGGGGTTCCACCGCAGTGCCTGTCTAGTGATGTTGGTTGGCTGCTTGCGTTGTGTGTGTCCTATCCAGCCCCACCTTCTCCTTCTAATTTCTTCCTCTACTGGAAGTTGACAGGTCCTCTCCAAGAGGTGGATGTTGCTGATGGTGTCTGGCCAGCGGATCTGGAGAATCCTTCTAAGGCAACTATTTATGAAGTTCTGGATCTTCCTGGTGGTTGTTTTAGTTGTCCTCTAGGTTTCAGCTCCATACAATAAGACTGATTTCACGTTGGAGTTGAACAGTCGAATCTTTATTGCCAAAGAGAGCTTTCTGGAGCTCCAGATGTTCTCGAGCTGTAAGAAAGCTGCTCTTGTCTTACCGATCCTTGCTTTGATGTCTGCGTCTGTGCCACCCTGCTGGTCGATGATCCTGCCTGGGTAGGTGAAGGACTGCACTTCTTCCAGAGGGCTTCCATTCAGTGTGACTGGGTCATTACTGATGGAGTTGATCTTGGGGATCTTGGTCTTGTCCTTGTGGATGTTGAGGCCAACCTGTGATGACGTGGCTGCCACTACGTTGGTCTTCTCTTGCATCTGCTGTTTGCTATGCGAAAGGAGTGCAAGGTCGTCAGCAAAGTCCAGGTCATCAAGCTGGGTCCACAACATCCACTGGATTCCGTTCCTGCGCTCATAAGTGGATGTCTTCATAATCCAATCAATGACAAGGAGAAAAAGAAATGGTGACAACAAGCATCCTTGTCTGACTCCAGTTCGCACCTGGAAGCTGTTTGCAAGCTGCTGTCCATGGATCACTCTACAGAGTATGCGGTCATATAAGTTCTTAATCAGGTTGACCACCTTTGCTGGGATGCCGAAGTGCCGAAGGAGCTTCCAGAGAGTCTCTCGATCCACGCTATCGAATGCTTTCTCATAGTCAACAAAGTTGATTTACAACGAGGAGTTCCACTCCATAGACCACTCGACTACGATGCGGAGCGTTGCTATCTGGTCCGTGCATGATCTGTTTTGCTGGAAACCTGCCTGCTCATTTTGTAGCTGTGGATCAATGGCATCCTTCATTCTCTCTAAGAGGACTCGGTTGAAGACCTTCCCTGGCACCGACAGAAGTGTGATTCCTCTGTAGTTGGCACAGTTATTGAGGTCTTCTTTCTTAGGGATTTTAATAAGGTATCCCTCTTTCCAGTCTGCCGGAATCACTTCTTCTTCCCATTTCTTCTCAAAGAGGGGATACAGCATTTCTACTGAAGCATCCAGATCTACTTTCAGGGCCTCTGCTGGAATGTCGTCAGGTCCAGCCGCCTTCCTGTTCATCATAGTGATAGCTTTTCTGATCTCATCTCTGGTTGGTCTGTCACAATTGATTGGAAGGTCCTTGTTAGCTGGGTCAATGTCTGGTGGATTTGGTGGTGCTGGTCTATTCAGGAGTTCCTCAAAGTGCTCCGCCCATCTGTTCTATTCCTGTTATAGACTTTCCCTGCTTATCTTTGACGGGACGTTCTCGCTTGCTGAACTTTCCAGACAGTCGCTTGGTGATGTCGTAAAGCTGTTTCATATTACCATAGTATGCTGCCTGCTCCACTTCTGCTGCCAGTCCATCCACATAATCTCTCTTATCCTTCCTAATATTCCTCTTCACTGCTCTGTGGGCTTCAGCATACTCTTTTTGCGCTTTAACCTTTGCTGCTCTAGTCCTGCTGTTGTTAACTACTGTCTTCTTTTTCTTTCTATCTTCTATCTTAGTCAAGGTCTCTGCTGTGATCCACTCTTTCTGCTGGTGTTTCTTGATTCCAAGGAATTCCTGGCATGCTGACCTAAGTGTCTCTCTCACTTTCTGCCATCTGTTGAGTACACTGTCTTCCTCTTCCTCAGACCGATCATGTAGTACTGAAAACTGTCCCAAGTCAGGATAAAGGAGGAGGGTTGGGCATGGGGCTAGCAACTCCACCCCGTAAAAAGTTTACTTGCTACAGAAATGCCAACAATAGAGATAATAGAGACTTTTAGCCTAGAAAAAGAAGGGTCTTCAACTTGAAGATGTATGACGCTGGGTGGTGAAAGTCGTGAGGAAGCCACTAAGCCGATTACCCTTCTTGCAACCAGGAGGACTACTATCGGTACATGGAATGTGAGGACCATGTACGAGTCAAGAAAGACGGTGCAGGTCACAGCAGAGATGAGGAGTAACAACCTGACCCTACTAGGCATTAGCAAGACAAGATGGACGCAAGCTGGACAGAGATGATTGTTGACAGGAGAGCTGTTGCTGTATTCTGGGCATGAAGAGAGCGACTTACTCAACACACAGGGAGTAGGCTTCATGTTGTCCAAGCAGGCACAGAGAGCACTGATCGGTTGGGAGGCACATGGCTCCAGGATCATTGCAGCATCCTTCAGAACTAAAATGAAGAGGATTAAGATAAATGTTGTACAGTGCTATGCTCCAACCAATGACTGAAGAGGAGGACAAAGACTATTTTTACAACAGACTTCAGAAAATATTAGATTCTCCCAGATAAAGACATCACCATCCTTATGGGAAACTTCAATGCCAAAATTGGACCTGACAACACAGGATATGAACAAGTCATGGGGACCCACGCTCTAGGAGAGATGAGTGAGAATGGAGAGAGATTTGTGGATCTGTGTGCACTTAACAACCTGGTAATAGGAGGCAGCATCTTTCCTCACAAGCGGATCCACAAGGGTACCTGGGTATCGCCAGCAGACACGACAGAAAACCAGATCGATCATGTCTGTATTAGCAAGAAGTTCAGAAGATCTTTGCAGGATGTTAGAGTTAGAAGAGGAGCAGACGTAGTGTCCGACCATCACTTAGTGGTGGCCAGATTGAAGCTGAAGAAGAACTGGATAGATGCGTCAGATAGAAGAGCGAAGTACAAAGTCAGCCTTCTGAAGGATTATAAGACCAAGGAAGATTTTGGACTGACGCTGAAGTCCGCAACTACATGTAGTACTGAAAAGAGATACCTATTTTTAATAGATACTTGACACTTGGTGTCTTACAGGGATTCTAAGCAGTACCTGAATTTAGTCCCTAATTTCAATCTGTGCCACCAGATTAAAGAAATAAAAGGGCATCTTTGGGGGCGTTATACCTCACTATCGCTACTGATATGTTGTGTGGTTGGTGAAGAATACTACGCCAAAGAAGGGTAAAATTACTCCAAGTAAGGTCAAAGATTTGACCAGAACTCAGGTAGAAATTGCAGGTACTGGTGGTTGATTTTCACACCAGAGATGGAAGCTATGGTGACCTGTGGCCCTGGTAAACTATTTTTACAATCCTGCTCCCTTGTTAAGTGGTACTGGTCACACTCCTAACGGATGCCATAATTAAATTGGGAATAACCGTCCTTTACCATTTGGGTCCAAAGTTTCATGAAGCACAGAGAGAAACAGCTGATTCCTTCAGAGCCATTCTATGCCTATAGGTCTGAATCTGGCTACCTTGTTGGACAAGAAGCACTTCCATGCTGGGCAAATGATGGTAGCCAATGAGGGAATGTATCAGATTCCAAGTTCAGACTGCAGGATTCATGAATGCTAAGTCCAGAGTCTGTGGTTTGGTCTCTTGGATTTGCTATTATGTCTAGTGCATTTGTATCACTTCTCCTACTGCTGCTACTTTGAAGGATTAGCAAGCGTGAAAATAGAGCACAGGTGGGTTATCTCATGATGCAGCCTTCCCACGTAGTCTTCCCATACTTCTGGGAGAAGACCCAGGGAGAAATGAACTCACAGAAATGGAAGGCTCCTAGGTTATTGTAGAATGTGACTTCACACAAAGCTCACTGCGTGGAAATGGGAATTAAGAGAAAACTGCCCTATTGGTTTATATTTTGTAATCGTTGGATAAGTTGTTACCAGCGACAATGAAATTAAACATGAAGTTAATTAGTGTCATGGAAGAGGCTGATGATGTGATAACTTTCAGTGTTACAATATAATTCAGGTTTTCTTTTAATTCTCTCCCTGCTTCC